ACTTTATTATTTAAACATATGACATTAAAATTTTCCATTTACCACAAGATGGGCATTTATGAGTAATGCTGATACAAATATTTATGTATTAGCGTTCATGTGGATATATGTTTTAATTTCTCTTACATATTCACCTAGGAGTAGACATGATGAATCATCTGGTAACTCCTATGGCTATTTGAGGAACTGCTGAATAGTTTTTGAAGTGTCTTTATGATTTATATTGATCAGCAGTATATTGAAGTTCTGACTTCTCAATACCCACAACAACACTTGTTATGAGCTGTCTTTTTTTTATTAGGGATACCCTAATGGATGGGATGTGAAGAAATCTCATTGTGGCTATGATGAGCACTTCCATATTGAGTAATGATTCTGAGCATCTTTTTATACACTAAGTGTTTCACATATAAGGGCTATTCAGATCATTTCCTCATTTTAAAATTATGGTGTTTTCTTTTAATTATTGGACTGTAGTTCATTATATATGTATTTTAGCTACAAATTTAAATTTTTAAATTTGTTTTTAGTTTATGTGTATAAGTGTTTTTCCTGTATGTATGTAAGTACACCCACATAGGCAATGTCAGGAAAGGCCAGAAGAGGGCATTAGATCTATAGAATTGGAGTTATGGTCAGTTGTTTGCCATCATGCAGGTGCTGGAAACTGAACCTACGTCTTCTGCAAGACTTGCCAGTGCTCATAATCCCAGAGCCATTTCTCCAGTCCCTAGATACAAATATTTTATTGGACAGAGAATTCACCAAACTTTTCTCCCACTGTGTGGATTGTCTTTTTAATTCTTTGATGATTTCCTTTAAAACATAAGCTTCTAATTTTGGTAAAGTTCAATTTAATGATGTTTCTTTGATTACGTGTTTTTTGATGTGACATCTAAAAACTATTGGCAAACTCAAGTTGATAAAAATTGCTTACACATGGAGATCCTAGCACACACCCTGTGAGGGTGGGTTAGGACCTCCTCCATCAGGGTAGCTGCTCAGAGCTCAGAAGACCACCAGAGAATATGGGGGTTCTGGCCTCCCTCTGGCCTCCAACTACCAGAGGGCCTGAGAACCCAGGGGACAACCTGACAGCCCCCGGATCCTGCCTCTACATGGTGGTGAGCTTCCCCTGATTGCACCATACTATCCCCCTACCTGGGATTTTGTGAGGCCCCTCCCAAGGCCCAGGGCAGATCTGGCTTTGGTGGGCTAGGGCTAAGATCCTAGCCAACAGCCTGAGAAGGTGGGTTTGGACCTCCATCAGGGTAGATGCTCAGAGCTTAGAAGACTGTCAGAATGCCGGGTTTTGGCCTCCCTCTGGCCTCCAACTACAAGAGGGCCTGTGAACCAACACCTGCTCCCCCATCCTGCCTCTACCTGGTGGTAATCTTCCTCTAACTGCGCCATACCATTCCCCTACCTGGAATTTTGTGAGGCCCCTCCCAAGGCCTCAGGGCAGACCTGGCTTTGGTAGGCTAAGGCTGGGATCTCAGCAGACCACCAGAGAGTGCCAAGTTCTGGCCCTCTCTGGCCTCCCTCTGGCATAGGGTTGACAACACACAAGACTGCCTGAGAGAGCTTGGATCCTGCTTCCATGTGGAGAAAGAAGCTTGAGTGTACCTGAGTGGAACCTGAATTGGGCTTCTGTGAGTACCCCTGAATAGCTGATCTGAAGCCATCAGTTCCCTCCAAAAAAAACCCTGAGAGAACCTGAACCCTGTACCAAACAGCTTTACATAACCAACAAGGAAAGTATCTAGGTACCTGGATAATGCAAACAGAAGCGTACTTCAATTTAATTCTCATATCAGAATCATAAACAATGGAAAAAATTCACATGCCAAAACCACAACAAAAGAATACTAAAATGGAAAGGCAAAACACAATGTTCCCAGCAAAGCCCACCAATCCTGTAGAAGAGTTCTACAAGGAGAAACCCCTAGAGATAACCAAGGACACTGAAATTAAAATAACAATCATAAACATGATCAAAGAATTCAATGAATTTAAAGAACACACAAACAAACAAATCAAAGAACTAAAAGAAGACAGGGATAAACTTCTGAATGAATTTAAAAAAGAGAAACATTTTTTAAAAACTCAGGCAGAAATGAAGAAGGAAGTGAAAAACTCAATAAGCCAACTGTAAACAACAGGGGAAAGCCTCACCTCTAGAATGAATGAAATAGAGAACAGAATATCAACACTGGAGGATAAAGTTGAAGAATTGGACCACTCAAGCAAAGAGTACAGAAATTTAAAAAAAAAAACAACAACACAGGAATGGAATATGCAAGAGATGTGGGACAACACGAAAAGACCAAATCTATGGATCATAGGAATAGAGGAAGGAGAACAATTTCAGGTTAATGGCATTGACAAGACTTTAAGCAGGATTGTAGAAGAGAATTTCCCAAAATTAAAGAACAACATCCCCATACAAATACAGGAAGCACATAGAACACCAAATAGACAGGATCAGAAAAGAAACTCCCCACAACATATCATAGTAAAAATACTAAATGTACAGAACAAAGAGAGACTACTGAAAGCAGCAAAAGAAAAACAACAAGTCACATA